AACATGATTAACTTTTAAAATTTCATTAAGAACTGGTGCAAGTGGGCCTAACCCTTCTTTTACACCAAGATATAATACACGTATTTATTAAATTTTATACAATGTCTTAATTTTTTGTTAAATTATAACGTATAAAAATATATAGTTTACAATACTTGCATCAAACTTGTTGGATAAACTAAATATGTGAAGTAAATAAGTGTTTATACTTGTAACATTATAGTTGTCTATGCAGTGTAAACGAAGGAATGTTTTAAACAGCCACAACTAGTATTCTACAAGTTTTGTTTAAAACTAGTATAGGACTTGTTTCTTAGTGGAAACGAACGAGGGGTTAGAAAGTGTAATAAGTATTCTGGGAATGCACCAATCCGCGGTCACTTTCAAGGTAAAAATTTATTTTTAAAAATCGTCTAACAATTTTTGCTACCTTTAAAAACATGCAAAACGGTCGAACTGCAAAATACCATAATTTCAGAAAATTGTCTATACAAAATATAGAAACTGTTTGTCACTTGCTTTCCTAATAAGTATTTTTGATAGTACCTTGTTTATTGATGCTATTGTAATCATTTTAGGTGGACAGAAAAGTCCGCGGACAAGAGTCCCTGGTCTGCTCAGGTAATAAATCAATTTTAAAAGCTAATCATGTGTAATCCTAATTCCTTCATCTATGTTTGAAATAAAACAATTGGCAAAGGTGGAATGATGTGTTAAACACGATGAAGCTTTAATTTGACTTAAAATTTTTGGTGCCAGTCGACCTAAGACTTCTAAAACGCTAGAGACCAATTGAACAAGTTCCTAATTCGAATTAAGACTTAATCGTGCTTAACACATCATTTTATCTTTGTCTGTTGTTTTAATTCAAATAGAGATAAAATGAGGCAAAACATGATTAACTTTTAAAATTTCATTAAGAACTGGTGCAAGTGGGCCTAACCCTTCTTTTACACCAAGATATAATACACGTATTTATTAAATTTTATACAATGTCTTAATTTTTTGTTAAATTATAACGTATAAAAATATATAGTTTACAATACTTGCATCAAACTTGTTGGATAAACTAAATATGTGAAGTAAATAAGTGTTTATACTTGTAACATTATAGTTGTCTATGCAGTGTAAACGAAGGAATGTTTTAAACAGCCACAACTAGTATTCTACAAGTTTTGTTTAAAACTAGTATAGGACTTGTTTCTTAGTGGAAACGAACGAGGGGTTAGAAAGTGTAATAAGTATTCTGGGAATGCACCAATCCGCGGTCACTTTCAAGGTAAAAATTTATTTTTAAAAATCGTCTAACAATTTTTGCTACCTTTAAAAACATGCAAAACGGTCGAACTGCAAAATACCATAATTTAAGAAAATTGTCTATACAAAATATAGAAACTGTTTGTCACTTGCTTTCCTAATAAGTATTTTTGATAGTACCTTGTTTATTGATGCTATTGTAATCATTTTTCTGTTGGATACTGCTAGGGACTTTATTGTAGAAGCCTCTTAATGAATTATTGGTTTTATGGAGCCTAATAATTTGCAAAGCTAATTAATTTTTATATTTAGTATTAAGCCAATTTAAATTACTACTTATAGGAAAATAATGGAATATTTTTGTAATTTTCTTAGTCTACCTCCTTAAAAAATAATATTCGCTATAAATTATGTACAATACATTTATGTGAAACCCAAAGTACTTTGCTGAATCACTTGTATTATGGAAATAAGAACGGAGCTCAGACAATATAGAAAGGACTGTTTTCTTCATTGATCCGACCGGGAATTGAAAACACGACGAGATCATCAAATATTCATTTGCCCTAAAAATAACCCTTTTATGTATAAAGTGGTATATACCTATATAATAAAACATCAGAAAATTTTCCCAGACAAGCGATTGTGCGGTCACCGGAATCTTATCCTTGTTAGATGCATCATAGCTACGTGAATCTTGTCTTTCACGTAGTAAAGCCATTCATATGATATTCACGTAGTGCTACGGCGTAGGCTCGTAGCACTCAATAATGCTGACTGGATTACTTTGAGAATAAAGGGTGAATTTGGTATCTACATTCTAGCAAAATCTGTTATTCTTCCTGCTATAATTCCGGAAGAAGTTAATTTGTTTATGTGCCTGTTTGTGTAACTTAGAATTTAAGAAAAAAGCAAATATTATGCCAACCTTTAAGCTATGAACATTAAAGTTTATGCCTTAAACAAAGATATATTGCCCTTCGCAATCTATTTTTATATATTTTTTATAGGTGGCGCTATTAGGTCTTCTGAATAATGCGTTCGGAGAGCGCTCTCTTGTTCCCATAAATCAGGGAATCCCTGGTACGGGCTCTGTGTCTTGTATTTTTTTCGGGTTTATCTAACTTTATAAGTCCCAAAACAAAGATAAAGTGAGGTGTTGTTCGAAAGAGAATTTATTCTCTTAACTAGTGATATGAACAAATGCAAATAATTATGTAAAAAGTGTCCAAATTAAAACTTATTTTTCAGGTAGTAAGAAAGGTCCGATCCAATTAGTGGAGGCTTTCTTTCCTTCTTTCAAACATAATTGCTATAACCAATGAAGAAAGAAGATCAATTAATAAAATGTTAATAACAATGAAATTTTACTCGGAAAGCGTCTTAAATTAGCAAAAATCATTGTGAGAACATTAAATAAACAAAAACTTGAGTACACATCAATATTAAATATCACTCAAGAACGCTATACTTGAACGAACGAACTGAAAAAAAAATACATATAAAAATCAATAAACGAAGAATAGGCTTGAATTAGTTGCTACATCTATTGTCTTTGTTCAATGAATGACAATTGGCATTTGAGTGATACTAACAAAACAAGGCGTAACTAGTCTTAGCTTATTCCTAGTTTATTAATATTTTTTGGCACATTGCCCATGTTTCAAAAAATAAATTATTATATAGTAAACAATAGCTTCAAGTTGTCACATCAATAGTGAGGAGACGTTACTGATGTACCTTAGATCAACCAAAGTATCTTTTAGTCTGGTGTCCAACTGGTGAAATAGACTGATTTACTTTTTTTTAAAAATAACATTGGTGCGGTTATGTTAAATGAAATATCACTTACGAATTCCATAGCTGCCATTTTAGACATTTGCTTGATATGCATTACCCCATTACACGGCAAAATCTCGCAATGACTGTTAAAGCAGCCAGTAATAGATATTTGGCACTGGTCAAAAATGCGAATAAATGACATCGGAAGTGAGACTGTGTCTAACAGAATCGACACGCTGATCACTTAAATGAGATTTTAGGACATTTATTACGTTTCCGAAAAACTAAACAAACATTTTGGTCCCCAATAAATCATTAGAAAACAGGCTTATTACAGACAAGCGTCTTAAGACGCCTCATCATTTTCCATCAAGTGGTGCACACTAAAAAAAAAAAAGATTCAGTTCTACATTTTTACCGCTTTCCATCCAGCATGCTTGCACCTTTCTCGTTCTGGAATATGAAGTTTTGTACTTTAGAACAGGATGAGTTATCTAGATGTATGTGTTTGCTACCTCAACGACTCCCGTAGATTTACTCAGCGCGCGTTCGCTTGGACAAACTTAATTAAAGTTTTCTTCTGTTATGTTAATAAAGCACTGACAATAACAACTAGACGGTGTTATTTTGATAAAGCTGTTGATTAATTGATTAGATATTTCCATTGAATAGTTCTTTAATTTTTAAGATAGTAAGCGGAATGATCGAAGACTGCGCTCTGTAAAGACAGAATAAAGATTATGAATGTTTAAAAGAAAATATTGATGAATAATATTTTGTTTTTTATGTTTATAAAGACAGTATAACAATTACAAATTCGGTAATCAATAATTTTTAGTTACTTAGACATCGAAACTCAGTACATAGTATTCATTTTTTTGGAACACAACTCGAGCTTTTCAAATAGTAAAAAATAAAAATATGGATAATTTAAAATCGTTTTAAAATAACAGGCTCTTGTTAACGTATTTATAACAAAGTCCGTTACGACTCTTTGCTTTTAGGCTAATAAGCATTTTGTTTTTTTTTTCTCTCATAACAAAGTAATCCTTCGGGGACCATCGACAACGTTATAATAATCTCGCGCGTCATTTATATTGCCGAGCCATTCTGTATTAATGCACTCTCTTAATAACCCGCTTTAAACAGAAGTCGGTGTTTACTTGCAGGGTCTACTTTCATTGCTCTTAGTGGCTCGACCACTAACTAGGTCAAACATTCTACCCGAATATAGGGTTAATTAAGTACTCCGCTATAATAAATACTACTGTAATAAATCTGCATTATAACATGTTAAGTAACTTTTATCCTATTTTTACTACAATATATAAGTAATAATACCTGCACAAACAACTACGTAACACAAGCGTATGACACATATGTTACGAACAATGGATCGTATGAACCAAAATAATCCTACTATAACATTGAGCATTGCCAAATGTAAACTTGATGGCTTCCTCTTTACATTCAAGTACAAAATCTTTAGCAGGCACTTCACAAATGACTTATGAAACCATAAAAGTGCCGTTAATGTGCAAATAAATTTCGAATAATGTTCATATGTCATGCACAATGTGCACTGAAGAATGAAATGGCATACAATAAGTTTCGTGTAAATCACTGAACTCGTCTAATATTCTACTCTTTCTACATAACTATTACAATGCAGCTAAAAATATTCTACTACTCCTAGCTTGCTAAGAAAGCATGCACTAAGTATCTTTAATTAATTATAATGTCAAGTCTAAATTACTCCGCAAAACACTCTTAATATACTAAAAGCACCAAAAGAAAACACTAACACATTATTAAAGTAAAAGACATCTCATTAATTAAAGACTAATCTGACAATATATTCTAAGCTCTCACGACGCCGAACGTTATTAACTTAACACCATTAGCCAGGAGGAGTCGACGTAACCGCTAGTAATTATGTTTGTAATAAATCGTACACAGACCCATATTATCTGAGTTGGAACAGGAAGGGTCCGGGAGAACCAGGAAGGCGAAAACGAGCACGATTACACCACACATGTCCATAAAGTCCGAGCGCGCTGGCGATAAAAAAAGTTTCTATACAACCATGACTTTCGCACACTGTGAAAAGTAACCAAAAAGTTTTTTCAGATTCGAAACTCAAACCGCGAACCGACGAGCGCCGATACCGTCGCACGTCCCATTCGAAAACAAAGCACGACAAAAGTTGCGGAGTGAACAACTTACGTTCGGAAACGCACGCGTCAAACAAAAGTTTTCGCGGCGAGCATGTGACATTTGTCACGTGACAACAACATTCAGTTCGGTAATGTTGGCAACAAGGGCGTGTGGCCACAATGACTCCGGACGTACGACTGACGCGACCAAACGGTACAAACGCCATACGACTATTGGTCACGACTCAGGGCGAGCCCATCAATTTCGCTTGACGTTTCAATGAAAACCCCCTTCTTTTTTCCCCGGAGAGAAATTACCGAGTACCATAGTGGTGTAATTAAAAATATTTATCAAATTTTGGCAGAATCAACAAGTACGCTCGAGTTACAGCTCAGCGTGAGCCTCTAGAATTTCACAGCATCAATTAGTTAGAATATGTTAATAGGACAATTGACTCTTGAAATTATATTATATTTAATTGTAAATCTATGTTTTCACCCCTTTCAGGTATATATTACAATGTAACAAAGAACGTTAAATTATAAACAAGTTTATAAACTAATTATACAGCTATGTAAAAAAAATACGATTTAAAACTTTTGTTAAAACTATGCCTTAACTTTCTATATAATTCTCTTTCAATCAATAAAGTACTGCAAAGCCTTATTATCACAATATCTGTATTCCATTTCGTCAGTATTACAAATTTATTACCCTTGTTATTATGCAAACGTTCCATCTAGAATAAGTAGGTACTGTACTTTTCTGACGTTCCATTTTTGCTACATTGTGTACACTGGTGCTATAATAGTTGAAAACCTAGCCCAACTTCGCTAACTTAAAACTTCATGAATAGAGTGGTAAGTACAGTCTCACGTTCACCCTAGTTGACGAGAGTTTTATTATTAACACTTACTTAATTATAACGCCACAAGTATAATACCTAGCTACATACTCTGTTACATAGATACAGCTCGGTCTTGTTTCATATTTGCTACGAGAAAATACCGTAGAAATGTGATTGGATCTTTCTTATGAATAAAAGAAGGTTATTCCATATAAGTCGCAAGAAACATATTAGGTCCATTTATTTAGATACAAAACATAAACATGTCTGATAATTATGTTATATTAATTAATTTATTAATTATAAGGATATGTGATGCGGAAGCTAGAAAACTGCTTTTGTGATTGTGGCTGTCTATATACACATATATTTTTGTAGCGAAAACTTCTTTAGCGGTGTTGTGCACTTTTTTATGTATGGGTAAAAAATGTTAAACACGTGGGCTGGTCGCATCATGACACACAACAAAATTATTGCGAAGAAAATGCATATTTTTACAATAGGTGCGCTTAAATGTGATTCATGTAAGTTGATTTTTCTGAGTGAGAGATAAACTTTATTAATGTAATATAAATTGTGATGTTTGTATACGATAGCGCAATAAATAAATGTTGTATTCTACCACATACATGATAGTACTTCTATACTAATTAAAGCAACTCGTGCAAAATTATTCCCTAACCATTCCAAAATATCAAAAATGCACAACGTGAATATTATTCAAGTTTTCACTTCTGCCGGCACTCCCGGAGTGCAACCCGTAGTTTTTTTTTATATTAAAAGGGTGACAAACAAGCGTGAGGCCCGCCTGAGTAAATGGCAACAATAGCCTATGCCTACCTCGCGATATCAAAAATATCACTCGCACTATTGCCTAACCTGACCTTAACCCTTACCCCGTAGAGCCGTAGAACCTTACTTTACCGACAGAAACAAAACACCACCAAAAGGTAGTGTTATTTTACTGCGATCTTCTGTAAAGTGGGGGTTATTTCCTCAGACCAGCGAAATTCGAGCGGAAAGCCGCTATGACCTTACCTCTCTTACATTGTCCGAAATAATTCGGTTATAAAATCGCCTTCCGATAGGAAGCATTCAATGGTATAAATCAAGTGTATAAGGTTTAGGGAGTCTCGAAGTGGGACAAAGGCTACTTATTGAGGTGAAAATTAAACATGAACGGGGTGAAATTGAAAAATATTTTTTGTATGGAAATATTTATAAATAATTGGTTTTATTCTAATGTAGTACTGTACCCCTAGCACGAACCATTATCTAATTCGAATAGTTTGCAAGCCGAAATGTCAATGTCAAATTTTGTATGGAAACTTGTACAGCAGCGGCACAGAGTACGGAACGAGAACTATAAATCAGTACACATTTGACAATGACATTTCGGATTCGCAAACGATACGAATTCGATATTGGTTCGTGCTAGGGGTACTGCTATTCTGCTACTGGTAGTGGCACAGATAATTTCTAGAATAATCGAAGAACGAATAAAAAAGAACAAACGAAGTCACGCCTGCCTGCTAATATAATTTCGTATTTAGAGAATTCCTGCGCCCCAGTAGAGGGTAAAAGATACATAGTACTTTATTGTTTACAAACAGATTACGGTCCCAAATAAGCAAAGACAAAATAATATTTGAACTTGACACTGGGTCTGTATCTAAGTAAAAGCCGTGTCAGAAATATCAATGAACATTTTTCCATAAGATTTTTTTTATAGAAAATCGAACCACCCAGGAAAAGTTTTTTTCTGTAAGGTGGAGGTTGCTTCCCCAAACGGGGGATCCAGTTCGCCTCCACTGTTTTGTCTTCAAATATTTTTTACATTTATATTACCTGATAACAGTTGAAAAAAAAAACAGAAAATCGATAAAATTAAATCCAGAACAGTACCCCTAGCACGAACCATTATCGAATTCGAATAGTTTGCAAACCGAAATGTCAATGTCAAATTTTGTATGGAAACTTGAACAGCAGCGGCACAAAGTACGTAACGAGAACTAAAATCTGTACATATTTAACAATGACATTTCAGACTCGCAAACGATACGAATTCGATATTGGTTCGTGCTAGGGGTACAGTAGTAAAGTTAGGTTAGTGGTACACCAACAAAATACATTTTTACTTTGCTACGTTTTTAGCACTTCGCTAGCTTCTATCGCTACACTTGCTTAGCTTTTTGGTTACAGCTCTAACCTAACCTGTTTTGGGTAGGTTGAAATATGTTTTTTTAAGTAAAACTTTTGTTACCTACATCGCCATAGAAAATTTTCAACGTTCATCGTTAGCATGTAGCATTACATATTAATTGTTATGAGAACATTAAGACCCTAACCATAAGTCGCGGGCGGTCCGGGTTTTCGATTCACAGCTAAGAAAGTAGGTATTTATATATAAAATATTTTTAAAGTTTCACTTGCATCGTGGTTTCATATAACTACACGATTTTTTATATATTGTACACCCTTGTCTACACTCTAAGCACCTTTTATAAACTGATCCATGCCATTTTTTACAAAACCGATTTGATAAATTTCTGACATTCTATACAATGACAGGTTACAGTTTGTCAGGTAATATTCGTTCTCTTGCCGATATTTATGTAATATTCGTTCCCTATATTATAATCGATATACAGCACACAAATACAGATTGTTACAAAACATCATATAAGGAACCTTCTCTAATTTTCTTAAAATATTTGCATGAAGTTATTTTTAATAATTAATAAAAATATCGATGATTTTAAGAAATGTCACGAATTCGAGGATCTTTAAAAATAATTGTTTTTTTATAAAAGGTTAAAACTTTATGCATATATTTTAAAAAAATAGAGAAGACTCCTTATATGATGTAGTTCAACGCCCTTCAAGTTTTATTTGTATATTTGTAACACCCTGTATATGCAAAGTGACAAAGACATCAATAGTTCTGATGAAAAACTTTTTCCTATTTTTTTTTAACAGTTTTTTCCTTCCTTTAGTGACACGCAGCCCTTTCCCTTTCATGTCACAGACAACGCCAATTGTTTCGGCATCCGTTAAAATATTTGCCAAAGCTCTTTTGGCAATTCCGAGACAGGCACACTCACAGGATATTGGAATCATAGTTGCGTGTGCTCGTACAAAACTACAATAGTTCACGTATCTGGAAAATTTGTCAACACGCCAATATCGCCCTTAAAAAAGTACCTTGCAAAGTTGTATGTTCGTTCCCATGAAACGGCAGTCTCATTTTCACAGCCTAATTCACAGCCGCTGATGCGAAATTGCGAAATGAAAAGATAAAATCGACGACGTCGGTCCGGCCTTTGAATCCGGAAAAACTTATCTTGACGATCACAATCAATAATATTAATTAACTTAATGTATTGCTTATTGAGTTCCGACATCTTGGTATATTAACTCCTTTATAGAACGCATAAAAGACTGTATTAATCTCAACATCTGTAATTAATTTATTAATGATGAATTTCAGAGAAAGTTATGAAGTTATTATATGAAGTCTTGTTTTCTATTCCACTGTTGTTATTAACTTTGATGGACTAGTTACGATCACGCTTAATATCCCCTTGAAACTGTAGGTATATACATTGAACTAATGAATGTTTGTTTAACCACCTTGAAGAACATTTATGGTGCTCAATTCGATGGTATTATAGTTTTTGATAATTCTTTTGTAGTTTAAATAGTTATAATCTTTTAAGATAGTTCGGTATAAATAAATATACGTTATTAAATTATTTAAAAAAATATAAAAGAACATAATCACTTTTCACCTCCGAATCCACGGTGTAACTTAAAATTAGAACACGAATTTCATATTTACAAATCACACCGGCGAATTCGGTTGCGGTACAAAGTCTGTTTGTTCTTATAGAAATAGCAATGCTGGTTAGACTAATAAAAGCCAAGTCAAGGCCCATCAAATTACCCCACCCAGTTAAATGTCAGTGGATTCCAGTTGGGAGATAGCTGATGTGGCAGGAAAATGTGCTGATCTAGCGATGTTCATTAAGTTTCCTTTATATTAATTTAAGAATCAGCCTTTTTTCCAAGTAGTACGAAAACATAACATACCTTTTTGTAGTCAAAAAAATAAACAAAACAAAATAACATCACATCTCACACTTATTTGTCGGTCCATTTCTAGTTTAGATTTTTTTTTGTAATTTGCGGTAAACGTTGCTGGTGTCACAATTATACCTATAATGTATTATGTACTAATTATTTAAAATGTATTGTGTCATTGTTTGTTTACCTTAATAAATTAAAAAAAAATATGATTCCGTTCCTGGAAATGTTGAGTTAATTAAGTCCTACTAATATTATAATATGAATGTTTGTTAGTTTGTAT